GCTTTAGTCGAGGGTTGATTCACTGCTTTGTATCGATTGAGAACCTCATTCGATAGAGGGAGTCTAGTTCAGAACGCCTTGATCGATTGTTCTAGAGAAGGATACGTCCCTCTAGGCAATTGACTCAAGAGGGCCTTGTTCCTTTAGTCGAGACTCAAGGTCTAGTCAAGGATTCTCCGCATTGTGAATGAAAGTGAAACAAGTTAGAGATCATCAATCGTTAATCTGGCTAGTGGCTAGGGGGAATCATACCTAAGTGAGTTCCCAACCTGTAATTAGATTAACTTTAACTGTAGTTTGCTAGAGTAGTTTTAGTTCTTTCAACTTAATCTGTTTTGCTAGATAACGAACTGAAGCTGAGTAATAGTAACTCTAGAGACCCGTGGATTCGATATTTATTACTTGAGCCACTATACTGCAGTCCCTTTCATTGGTTACACTTGGCCATTGTTAGGTGTTGTGTCGTAGCTAGTCAGTCAGCTAGATGGATAGGACGAGCTGGATGTGATTGTGAGCCCTCAAGATTCCACCAAAACTTCAGTTGTTCGTATGGCAAATCCTTCATCGTATATTGCCTACAACTGAGGCACTCATTGAGAAAAGGGTCCCGGTGTTGCCCAGGTGTTCCGTGTGCTGGGCGGAATCTGAAACAATGGAACACCTTTTCCTGGGAGTGTCCGGTCGCTGCAGCTCTTTGGTCATCTTCGGGCTTGGAGCAATTGGGTAATGATTTGCCCAGAGAAACTTTTCCTTTATTCCTCAAGCAGTGTTTGCTTAGGATGGACCAGCCGGCTCAGATCATGGGTTGGTTGCCCTCTTATGGCATATTTGGAAGTCTCGTAACCGGGCAGCCTTTGAGGGCAAACAGTTCACGATTACTCTTTTAATGCGTCAATATCAGCAGCAGCTTCATGAATGGGTCTCTTTGCCAGAGAATCCGTTAGTTCGGGGGTGGGTACCACATAGTCTTAATGGAAGGGAGGGGGCCTTGCCTCATATCGTCTATATGTGGGATGGTGCGGTAAGTGCTGGCTCGCATTCAGCGGGAGGTTTGGTGGTAAGGATGGTGGTGGAAATGTGCTCTTGGCTAAAGGAGTGTCTTTTCCATGCATCATGGACCCTCTAGTGGTGGAGACTCTTGTGTTACGTGAAGCAATCCAGTGGTGTAATGCTCTTGGTTTTCCCCAAGTTATGTTTGAGGGTGATGCTAAGGTGCTCATTGATAAGATTAATGCCAACGATGCTCGAGATGGAAGTGTTGGGGCCATTATTCAGGAGATTTTGAGTATGTTGGCTCTGCATAGTGATTTCCAGGTTAGGTTCGTAGGTCGGAATAGCAATGGGGTATCCCATGTTGTGGCTCCTGTCTTTGTCTCCGACCTTGTGTCAATTGTACGATGCCTCGGTTGGTTCCAGGATGTAACTTGTGATCTCTTCTTATCAATATGATGATCTTTTATAAAAAAAACATATGTATTTTATATGTAACTTACATGTGACGTATTTTATTAACTACGAGTAAGCACGTTTAACTTCAGAGTTCTTACAACAACTCTTCCCTTTCACCAAAAAATGTGTCTAGTCACAGTTAAAGTCGATTTCGTACTTATAAACATAGTTAGTAAATACTCCGTTTAATACATGTATATATGGACGTGTGTATTTTATGCATTTAGAACTCCCATTTTCGTATATTGTCAATCTGTTTCATTTTTTGTTGTTCATTTGATGACTTACGTACTAAACATGTATAACACGTTTAATATCCATATTTAATGAATTAAATTAATAATTTGAATATTATATGTTTATTTATTTATTTCTAAAATAAGTAATTTCATACATCCTATCACACTTACCATTAATTTAGTAATGAAATGAAATACCCATATGTATTTTATACGTAACTTACACGTACCATATTTTACTAACTATACTTATAAATCAAACTTGGTTGCTGGAGGAACCAATATGGTGATCTGTCGATGGGATGGGGCTACTTGTGCTGGTTCTCACTCGGCAGGTGGGATGGTGTTGTTGTCCCCGTCAGGCGAGGTTTTATTGGCTCGTGGGATCCAATTTCCTGATATTGATGATCCGATGGTAGTCGAGCTGTTGGCCCTCCGTGAGTCTATTCGCTGGTGTTTGGAGCGTGGTTACTCTGATGTTAGGTTTGAAGGGGATGCTAAGGTGGTTATTGACAAAATCAATCAGGCGCAGGCAGGTGATAACTGGATGGGTGCAGTTCTTCAAGAAGTCTTACCGTTTTTTGCCGTCCATACCGGTTATAGTGTGCGATTTGTAGGTCGGAATAGCAATAGGGTAGCCCACTTGGTGGCGAGACAGACCATTGTTTTGTCTCCGACTATGAGTCGAATTTTTGATTACCAGACCTAGCTGTTTTCCAGGGTGTAACTATCTCTTGTTCTGAATCAATATATGATTATCTTTTGTATAAAAAAAAATCAAATACCTCTCTTACTTTGACAATGACAATGTGAAATTTCCTTCAAAATGTTTAAAAAACAACTTCTGATTTTGTTCAATAAAAATAAAGAACCCGCTGCGACCCAAAAGTCCTTGAAAAATTCGTTTGCATGAAGTTGAGTGGATCAAGTCTCCGTCAACCATAGATATTTTCGGGCACATAATGCCTGTCGTAGTCGTTTACGCTAAAGAGAAGAACAATTAGAAAGTAACGGCATGGGAATGGGATGGGACGCGAAACGGCACAAAAAGTACTGCACCATATTGATGCCATGGTCCTAGCCTATGTCTTGCTTCTTGCCGAGGCTCCTCTGTTTGTCCTCTAAGCTCTAGCTGGAATATTATAATAACGTAAACTCCCGTGAATTTGTGCAGAACATCCAAGGTTTCTTCGTCCTTTTGCTTTAACGATGGTTTCTCTTGTCAACAAGCCATGTAAACTGTGAACCATGTGAGAAAGTTCATATATATAAACCAGAAGATAGTAGCATCCCTTGGATCCATCTTTTGTATCTTTTCTTTCATCAATATTTAAACATCAATGTCCATGATTTCATTGGAATGAGATTGCAAAAGCTATGGTTCAATCTCTTTTGTTGCTCTTGATAAATTCCACCCCAGGTGGAGCACCTAAGTTGAGATGAGATATAACTCTGTAAATCATTTTTACCCACGAAAAATTAGAGACAAGCTGAAGGTCGAGTCATTTCAATCTGTTATTTGGGTCATAAACACCTCCTTGAAGACCTTGTCTTGGAGAAAGGTATTATTGACATCATAGCGGACAATAGACTAGTCCGAACAACAATGATGGGTAATGAATGTGGGTTTTACTAGAGGTTAATGGAAACTTGAGTTGTCATCAACCTCAAGGTAAACCCATTTACCTTGTATATATGGGTTTGGCTAGAGGTTGATGGAAACTCCAGCTAAACCATATGGTTAAATTGCAAGGTTGGTCACTGAAAGTGCTAAAATATTTACGTTTAGTCACTGAAAGAATTTTATTCCATTCGTGGTCACTGAAAGTGGTTAACGTTTCACGATTGGTCACTCTCCGTTAGTTTCCATTAACATCGTTAAATTGGGTTAACCCGTGACCTGACCACAAAAAATTGAAGGAACCCAAATCTCTCCACATCCCTTGATCTCCCCCATCTCTTCTCAACCTTTCCCCTCTTCTTCTTCCTCTGTTTGCGCCACGCCTCCTCCTCGCCGTCGCCTGTCGCCCTCCGTCGCCCAAGCATCCTTCCAGGAAATCTTCCTCGTCGTCGCTAGACCTCCCTCCGGCGCTGCTCATCATCTTCTCAAGACGAGATCCCCAAGGCAAGGAGAAATCGTCATCCGTCTATCCCTAAAAGTGTTGTTGCTATCGTCTCCGTCTCTCCACCATCGATAACTTCACCTTCGCACTCCAATCCGGCACCACGCTGGCGCCGATTGGACCTTCAAGAATATCCTGCCGCCTTCTTTGGTCAAGCTAGACCTGGAAGAATCGCCTCTTTGCCCCGTCGATTTCAGACTCGGCGAGCGAAACTAACTATAAAGACAATCGGGGCCCAAATCCAAGGGTGGTGGCCAACCTCTGTCTTCTCCGACGAAAAATCAGGACGCCGGATTCCATCTTTGATTTGTTCGTTGACGATCTGTGTTCCCGAATATAAGCAGTAACGCAGCCGCGTTTGGGAGTGCCTCGTTTTGGGGTTCCGTCGTGTTTTGGGAGTACCTGGGTTTGAGAGTAAATATGAGAGGAGGCAAGGGCGATTGGCTTTGAGGAAGAGCTGGACACTAGAAGCATCGGTAATCAAAGTTGGATGCTCCCCTCGGCTGGGATTTGGAATCGCAAGATTGAAGCTCCTTCTTCCCTTCCTTTTGGTCACCGTCGACGGGGTTTCTAGATCTCCAATGCTACAAAACTCAACATTCACGGCTGTATAGTCCCCCCCCCCCCCCTGATGACGTTGAGCGGAATACACATCGGGCTGCTACTCTTGAAGGCCTAGCAGAGATTGGTTGACGATGGCGTTGTTGAATCCCTTTGCGATGGTTGATGGCGACAGAGGGGATTAGAGGTCGATGGCGGCCAAGAAGAAGGGACTAAGAGGGTGGGTCAGAATGGGGTTTTCATTTGGGCCAATCGAGTTTTAGGTCAGGCGGGTCAATAAGGAGGGTTGGGTCATGGGTTAGGTTGGGTAATCTGACGTGACGGGTAAAACTGACGTGGCATGTCCGGTTTTGAGATGTGGCAGGTCAAAATTGGATGAATCAGCATTTCTAGTTGTCACGTCAGTAAACCACTAACGGTGTTAATAAAAACTCATGGAGAGTACCAATCGTGAAACGTTAACCACTTTCAGTGACTATGAATGGAATAAAATTGTTTTAGTGACCAAATGTGAATATTTTAGGTGACCAACCTTGCAATTTACCCTAAACCATATTCATAAATTCCTGATTATGATTTTATGATCCACGATTGAGAGATTTACCATGAAAAATTATATATGATTTTCGTTCTCTAGGAACCTGTTGTAACCGAATTCCTCATTTAGTAAGAGCAAAATGCGCTTGAACTCTGTGCCTGTATGTTTTATCTCCACCGCACTGGCTATCACACAGCAAATGGAATAAATATAGTAGAGTTACTAACGAAAGCCACACACAGGAAGTCCACAATCTTAGAATACATAAAAATCCACTGGAAATCCATCCAATTGACAAGTTCATGATAAACAGCTAAAGCTCGAATCCCTTTCCTGAGAGTTTTCAGACCATGGGGAAAGTGAAACTACTGAATGTAGAAATAGCTACGGCACCACAAGCACAATGCCATCTAGCTACTGCAGACAAGATCAATGACGACACACGAAACTTCACCAGACATGTCCCTGCCAAGGAAATGGGGAGAGACCATGCATATGAACCCTTTCATTTACCGGTATGAATCCGGACGTTTGGGCTTGGTTTGAAGGATAGCTTCAATCTTCTCCATCACAGCGGGTGTCAGTAGTGGGATGACATCGATGGCCTTCATGTTCTCTTGAATCTGTATATACAGGAGCAGAACTATTAGTTACTGTTATAGTTTAGATGTACATGCCGCCAGGAATACACATTAAGAAAGCAGTATGGGGGTAAAGCCAGCAACTTGAAGCTTCTACATGGAACATGGAGCTCTGGTTGGTAGAAAGAATGAACAGGTTCCAAGCACAGGGTTTTTATAAACAACCAGGGAAGAAGTTAGAATAGTTGTTATTTCTTGAGACGTACCTGGGACTCTTTTGTGGCACCAGTAATTACTGATGAAACATTTGGATTGTTAGCACACCACGCTATCGCAAGTTGAGCCATAGGCACACCTAGTTCATCAGCAATTGGCTTAAGCCCATTGACCTTCTTCAGCACATCATCAACCAGGGATCGGCTGGCAAGGTTCTGGTAGGAAAAAGAAACATGACTCAAGCTAATTAGTCCAAAATGAATGAAAGCAAAGGCAAAAGACCATGAATGCTTGCATGAAGCCACATCTCAATCTTTAGGAATAAAAAGGAAAGGCAAAGGCAGCAAAAAGAGAGAGAGAGACTGTATGTTTGACAGCAGAAGTTGGTAATATTAAGCAACACCATTTGACAACTACAGCCATCTAAAGTTGGATTTGATGAGTTGCATGGGATGATGAAGTACATCTGGAAACCTCATAGCCCAAATGAGTATGTAAAGTAATAATGGATTTTCTGCCAACATCGTGCAGTATTTAACAAACTTGAAACAAAATGTGGAGAAAACCAGAACAAAAAGAAGTACATGATGCGAGTAAAGTTGGTACTGCATACAGTTACACTGTAAATGACATGTAAAATCACGAGGAAGTGTGAGACATCTAGTAGCCTTACTTTGTAATTCTCCAAAGCGAAACGGCTGTCCGGAGGTATATTTCCTTTGCTGTATTTGCCAGTAAGTACTCCGGAAGCAAGTGGACTCCATGTGGTAAGACCCACGCCATAGTTGGTGTACAGCGGGAGGTACTCCGACTCAACCTATATCCATAGGAATTTTGATCAGACCATAAATGAAATCTAACCCCGTCATCCCCATAAGTAAGAAGAGCAATGTATCCACATCTCTAACACTCCATCAAAAACATCCAGAAGTGCACATTAATCGTCATGATTCAATACCACAATTTCCCAACTTCCAAGTGATGAGAAAAGCCTAAAGCCCTCACCTTGTGCCTCGATAGCATATTATACTCTGGCTGTTCCACAATGGGTCCAACCAAATCCAGCCTCTCAGCAATCCCCCAGGCCTCAGTGATCTGCTGTGCTGACCACTCGCTGGTGCCCCAGTAGAAAGCCCAGCCCTTGTCAATGACGTAATTCATCGCCCTCACAGTTTCCTCAATCGGTGTTGATATGTCTGGCCTGTGATAACAATCACAACAGCATTAACCAACAAAGCACAAACCCGGACTTTGACCAGTACTGTGCACTTCATATTACAATTCCAAAAGAAAAGCTAGAGAGTTCAGCAAGATGAAAAATTCAACTCAATCCACACCTGGACTACCTGGGGTTTAGTGATCAACAAAGATTAAAGAGAAACAAACAAGGTTTCAGCCTCTAATTCAAAACCGCCCAGTCTGAAATCAGCTAAATAGACAATTACAATCCAACAGTTGCTAGACACGAGCAGAAGGGCCAAATATAAACAAGAGATACGACCTACTAATGAAGAGGAAAATAAAGAAATTGAAACGGGAAAGGATTCAACTGCATTTTCTTAACGTTGATTCTAGTTCTGGTCAGACAGTCCACTAGTCCTGCTTGTGGTACATAAAGAACCCAGATCAGGAAAACAACGCAATCGTCCCAAATCAAGCTATCTAAGAGCTTTAAAAGCCCACCAACTCAACGTTCCAACTTCCAAGCTAGAACCACCATGTACGAAAAGTAATTCCAAACAGTTGCCAGAGACATGAGCAAAAGAGCCAAATCTGCATAAGACCCACCACACGAAGAGGGAAATAAAGAATTTGAAACGGGAATTACTTTTCGTAATTTCTTTAACATTCGCCAATCCTGAACCTGTTCTGATCAAACACAGTCTATTAATCCAGCTCGAAGAAAACAGAACCATGATCAGAAAATCAAGATGATCGTTCCAAATCAAGCCACCTCAGAGCTTTAGAACCCCCACAAATCAGATCCCAAATCGATGAATCACAGACCCAATCAAACCCCAGAATCTTCTCCAATAACCACAACCAGGGCAGTAAATAAGTAAGATAATTTAGTTAAAATTGGGCAAACCTGTGACAGTAAATGACATCGACGTAATCCATATCGAGCCGCTTCAGCGAAGCCTTGGTTCCCTCCACAATATGCTTCCGGGAGAGCCCCTTGTCATTAGGACCCTGACCGCCCCAAAAGATCTTGGTGGAGACGACGATATCGGAGCGCTTCCAACCCAGCTCGCGGATCGCCTGACCCATGATCTCCTCGGCCCGGCCATTGGCGTAGACCTCGGCGTTGTCGAAGAAGTTAACCCCGCTGTCCCTGCAGCACTGGAGGAGCGACTTCGCCTCCTTGACATCGAGCTGGTTGCCGAAGGTGACCCACGCGCCGAACGAGAGCTGGCTGACCTTCAGCCCCGATCGGCCCAGATTCTTGTACTGCATGATTTCCTCCCCGGCGATCGGCGTTGGATCAGAGAGATAGAGAGAGAGACAGATCGTTTGTTTGATTAGGGGGGCGGAGAGATGGAAAATTGGGAATGGAGATGCTCTGTGGAGCGCATATGATATATGATTAGAGGAAAGTGACGACAAAGAGGCAGGGGAGTGAGTGAGATGAGGGGGAGCGGTTATTGTGTGTGGTGGAGAGTAGTTGAGCTTGATGTGTCCGTTATTTCTGGTGTTTACGTGGTCGTACGTAAGACAGACACTGTGATTATAATTCAGACGGGCCTAGGCCGTGCGGAGATGGGCAGTTGAATGGGTCAAACCCTAGATTTAGGCCTGGTGTGCGAGTAAAATCCCATTCCAGCACGAGAGCCCAGCCCAGGAGTTTGTTGGGGGGCAGAAGAGGCCCGTGAACATCACCTCGGGGGAAAAGAGACCCACGCCAATACCAAGGCCTAGTGTTTGAGAAACAAAGGAAAAGAAAGGGGGTGGCGCTACCTAACCCCAACGTGCTGTCGTTTTTGGTTCGAGGATGCTATCTCAAGTCCCAAGTCCTGCGACGGGCGACGATCAATGTTTTTTTATCGTTTTTTTACTGCATGTTCCGAAGACTTGTTTGACTTTTTTTTTCATCTGGATGCTCTCTAGACACATGTGATCCACCATGCCGATAATACGAGGACATAATCAGCGCGACAAAGTCAGAAATCTGAATTAAGAGCTGACTTGAAATGTGATGTTTGAAAGAGGGGACTAAAGCATTATCGACCACTCTATTTTTTTAAAAAAATTACGAATTTTACATATAATTTTATCTATATTTCAAATTTGAGGATGGACTATATGCGCACTCCTCCTGACTTTAACCTTAACTCTCCATGGAACATAATAAAAATATATATTGTATTAAAATCCACCTGGTTCTAATTACGTACCCTCTCGAACGGGAATGCAATATTGTATTTATAATTTTAGAGTATGCCTATGGTGACATGCATGTCACCGTAACTTGCACTTTTAGGTCGACCTTATATAGGATTAGGTCGACCTAATATGTCGTTTCAGTTTTGTGAGGTTCAACGACGCGGTTGACCTTTTATAGCAAATGGTCGACCTCTTGGGAAGCGCATGGATGGCATGTACGACTACATGGGCCAGATTTCCACCCAGATGACTGGCATGTACGACTACATGGGGCAAATGACCGCCCAGATAGGGATGTCAATCCAACCCGTAACCATGGGTACCCTACCCGACTATAACCGGTCAACGAGGGTAATTACCCGCTTTGATGGGTTAAGGGGCGGGTGCGGGTAATACCGGTTCAAAATAAAGGGTAGGGTACGGGTATGGTAATCGATAATACCCGCCCCGCTAACCAAAGGGTCAATTTCCCTTGAGAAATTTATTTTAGCTTGAGAAATTGAGTTTAGCTACCATTATTGATGATGAAGATGTAGAAGATTATTATGTTTGTGTGGATTGTAGAAGCAAGAACAATTATTATGTGTTTGTTGTTTTTATTTGTGTGGATTGTTGAAGCTAGAACAGTTACAAGTATTGAGAATTTTTAATGGACAACAGTATGTATGTGCATATATGTGTATAAGTTCATAGTTTAGGATTCATACCCAAATTACCCGAATACACGTGGTTACCCGGTGGGTATGGTATGGTTATATAATTTTCATACCCGGTGGTTATTTGGTCGAGTATTTTAGAAAGCTCTACCCGGCGGGTTAGGAGTTGGTATAGGGTGAACCCGCACCCGACCCTACCCATTGTCATCCCTACACCCAGATGAGCACACTGCAGGTGACCGTGAATGAGATGCGAGATGAATTTCGATCTTTCAGTGGAAGATACATGCATGTCCCCGTAACTTCCGACTACCATAATCAGTGGCGGACCCAGGAATTTTTCATAGGGGTGTCCTCTTTTAAAAAGTAAATTAAATTAAAATAAAATAATTCTTATATAAGAAAACACCTGACTCGTACGACGTTAAAAAAATTTCACGATGTATATTCATATTCGAAAATAAATGTGGAATACACTTGGTTTCTACACTGCTCAAAAAATTGTCTATGTATATCTTACTAGACAATTATTCACGAACTTATCGCATATTTGATTCTTAAACTTGTTATTGATGCAATCCAAAGCCGAAAAGACTCTTTCAACACTTGTCTTACAACGATAAAATCAATAGAAATTATGAGTAGCTTGAAATTAGCTTAATTGTTAGTTTGGAAAATAATTAGAGATAGGAAATGTCAATTTACTATTACACAGTGTTTAAAATCGAACAATAAATGTGTTGTAGCCTAATGGAAATAATCTTTATTAATAGTAGTAGTGTCCTAGGTTTGAATTATCCAAACTACCACTTATATTCTCATACACAAACTAAAAAATGAGAGTAGGATAATCATTTTATCAAATTTCAGGGGTGTCCCTCACTATCAATTATAATTTTTTGTTCGTACGTAAATTACCACCGGGAGCTGGATAATCGTTTTCCCAAAATTTAGGGGTGTCCCGGGACACCCCCAAACCCCCTTGGGTCCGCCCCTGACCATAATGCTAGCAACACCAATGAAGAAAATGTGGGTGAGGGGGAGAGGGGACAGGAGTAGGAACTCTATGATTTTAGATTGTGTGTTTTTAATTTTTATTGTTAAGTGTTAAAAACGATTGTGGATTGATATTATGTGGTTTTAGATTTTAGTTATGTGTGAACAATTATGATTTGCATTTTATTGTATTTCTTGTTAGTTTGTTTAGTTGTTATGTTATGAAGTTATGAGTCCTCGTTATCATTATTTATGACTGATTCTGTTTGTTTGAAACGTAATTTGTACGAGCAAAAGAACGACCCACATCACTTCCCAAAGATGTCGACCATTTACTATAAAAGGTCAATCGCGTCGTTGAACCTCATAAAACTGAAACGTCATATTAGGTCGATCTAATCATATATATAAGATCGACCTAAAAATGCAAAGAACGATCTGAAAATGCAGATTAGGTCGACCTAATCTTATATAAGGTCGACCTAAAAATGCAAGTTAATGTAACCGTAGCAAACTCCTTTTTTATATAATGCCGATAGAGAGAAGCCAAATAGATATGGGCTTAAGCAACATGTCAACGAATTTGGAAAGTTCGCCGACGGGGAAGACGTCAGAGCAAAACTCCAAAGCCTCCTCCAAGATTTACTGCAAGTCATTCCTTTGTTTAGAAGCAACATAGGGAAAAGTCCAGTAATTGGACAGCTGGCCGCTCTCTTAATTATTGTATTAAAGAAACTAATCAAGAAAGAATCTCTGGGGTGGTCAGAATCAGTGTGTATAACTACAACCCAGAGAGCAGGAAGAGACAATCATGATTAGAGACTCCTTTCCTTTGAAACTGCTATATCCTGACTTTTCTTCAGTCCTCTTGCATATGAGAAAAGCATCTTCATTGTAAAAATTAGTGTATAGCTTAATTAATTAATTAAAAGAGCTGTGCTTTTGGGAGTATTAGTCAACTAATTAGTTAACTTAAAATCTTCATATGCATATCAAGATGATTACTGCTTTTGAAAGAAAAGAAAAAAAGAAGAAGTCTGACATGGTAGGTACTGTATTCTTTTTTCTCCCTAGCCTCCAAAATAATTAACTCTGCTGTCCTGGGAAAGGGTCGCTTAATTAAGCTCTCGTTTCTTTCCCCATTGCACAGAATGTGTGTAAAATACAGAGTAAGGGTATGATATGGTTGCTTTTCCTCTCTTTGTTTTTACTTACTTTTAACCCTCTTCGTCTGTGGAACCAACAAAAACAGAAGCTTTTGGTTGAGGTCAGGTGAGCGGATTGCATGCTGCAAAAGTGAGCGAGTGAGTGAGTGAGTGAATGTGAAAGGGCGAAGCATATGCATGCTAGGTCGACAGCATGATTTTGTCACGGCCCATGAGTCACTATGTTGAAAGACCAATCCACAGAATACAAAGGGCAGCATGCATCCATGGGGATGGGAGATGATAAAAAAGAATGATGGCACAAAAACAAACGATCGAGATGATTAATTACCTATAGGTGGATCAGTATTGCTTTCTCTAACCGATTGCCAGGGAATTAATCCATGAGGGATTTGCTATAGGTCTATTTCATTTGTGGGTGTGCTACTTACATTTACTATACAGTGATCATTGATCATATACTACTTTTTACCATGGTTGTCGTCATGGGGTCGAAAGTCGGTCGTTTGAACCTGGTTCAACCGGTGTCAGTTATGAAATTAAACCAGCCTAAATATAATTGATATGACAGACATGATTGACTTACGACCTCTAAACGAAATGACGTCTTTTTAGTGAATATAAACTAATAAAAACATAATTTATTATTTATTTCATGAATTTAAAAGTTAAAAAGTGATGCTATTTGTTGGATTCAGGTATAAATATTTAGAAGTTGAAGTTAAATATTGTATTTGAACATGAGTATTTGTTATTAATTTATTTTAAATGTCGTATTTTATCTAAATATAAATATGAATTGTAAGTAAATTTTCTTCAAATATGTTTTATATATATGATTAAATTCATTTTATGTTAATGATTTTCCAGATTTCTACATATTTTGTTAGACCTGCATGAGCCCACCGAACCATTTCACTTGTTAAACCAGCACAACGGTATAATCCAATTTGCCAACCTTGCTACTTACCGATGAATTTACGGAGAGTAACATCAATTCTATTGTTCCACACTTACTATTGTTTATCTTTGCACCTTCTAATTTTATCGATTGAAAGGTAGAAGTCACTTGCTATTGAATCGATGGACACAAATTTGTATGTACCGGATCCGCTTCATCCAAAGTCCCACACATTCTTAATCGCTGGATGATGTGGAATTGTGGATGCCGCCGCATGCTCCAACTTCAACGACCAGAAATGCGCGCGATATTGATACTAAATATTTATTTAAGAATATTATTTGAAAGCGACAACTAGGTAAATCATGAATTATTGGTTGGTATAAGATTTATTATTAAACCTCTATCAACAACTCGAGGTATTGATACTAACGGTTCTTAACAAA